GTTACCTTATGATATTGGCTGCCGCTTTTCTCTCCTGGGTCAACAGCTCTGGATCATGAATAACTTCTTCCAGGAAGCTTATCACTTTAAACTTGAGTTCCTCATTGGTTTCAAAGTCCTGCCAAACACATGCACGGTTAGCACGTACAGTTGTGGGGTTTTGCACCTGAGAGCATGCAGCAAGCCGACCTGCACCTTCGCTTCCCTTTGCAAATGCTGTACGGGGGGGATGAATCCTTACGGGGAATTTGCCTCTGGGGGCAGAGGGGACGGGCCGTGCGCTCCAGGGAAGGAAGCTGGCGGCCCGTCCTCTCTTGTGAATTCAACCTGGCCTGCCTGGAAAGAGCTGCTGGGGATGCATCAGCACCAGGAGCCATGCTGGCCTCGTTTTGTGCACTGCATTGGCCTTCACCGGCGTGGAGGAGTGCTCGGAGCAGGATTATCTACACGCTGCGCTACAGCTGCTGCTCCGTGCTTGGTCCCAAGCAGGACTAGCCCACGGGCAAGCAAAGGGGAGTGAGATCTCTGAGCTGCCTGCAGCCCATCTCTGGCCTCAAGATGGTTTCAATGCCCTCTGATCACCCAGAAACCCCCCAGTGACCCATACAGGGTAGGAAAGCTGTTGAGACCCACGGCTCTGTCTGAGGCAGGATCAGCCCTATCCAAACCAGCCCAGACACATCCACTGTCTGGCCTCTTAGTACAGACACCGTCACCCACGACAGCCCCAGGCATCACCCCGACCCTGCCCCAGGGAAAGCACGGGGACCGCGGCTGCCAACATCTGGCTGCTGCAAAGGTGGTGAATATACACTCACGGGACCCCAAGGAGAGGCCGTGCCCTGCTATAGAGAAGATAACCCCCCCCAGTCTGGACCAATCTGACCAGGAGGTAAAATCTCTTCCTGCCCTCAATGCATTGGTTTGACTTTGAGTGGAGAGGCAAGGCGGTCCAGGCAGGGCCGTGCGGGGTGGGTCCCAGCAGGAGCATTGCACGGCCCAGTCCCCAGCTGGGCTGCAGCCTGCACCCAATGCCTCCCAGGGAGGTTTAAAACCCCCCGACGCGTGGAGCAAAAAGGACGAGGGGGGCAACCAGCAAAGCCATCCCACAACAGAGCACGTGCATCGCTGCGCCCAGATCCTCCCCGAGCAGCGCACCTGCGAGTGCTTGGAGACCCAGTGCCGCAGCACGTTGAGGACCCTGTTGGTTGCTGCCCTCCTGATGACAAACTCCTTGTCGCCGTTCCTCTGGTCGGGGGGGAAGCCTGGAAGACGGGACATAACTGAGCACGCGCGCAGAGGGCCAAGGAAGCGCCTCCCCGCCCGAGCAGGGCTCCCGGGGGATGCGAGCGAGCTCCTGCAGCCTCTTATGGGCAAACTGCTTTTGATGGCACGGAAGGAGCCGCGGGCAGGCGTGCACCCAGCTCCGCAATGCAAAGGGATGCGTGGAAGCTTGCACACGCACGTGACGGGTGTAAGCCAAGGGATCGATTGCCCTGCGTAGGCCTGTGCTACCCAAATGACCGTCGGAGCATGCCCGCACCCCAGCACCACGTTACCTGCAGTGGCTAACGACATCCTCCGGTACTTCTCCTTGGTGGGGGTGCCTTCATTGGCCCCTGCCGTGGCAATGGCGAAGGCGGAGGCGGCTGACAGGGCGCTGCGATTGTTGTCCAGCTCGCGGCAGGACGTCATGACGACTCCGTTGTTATAGGAAAACAAGGAGAAATCTAGGAGGGACAACGGCATTGATTGAGGAGACGCCCCCTCCCGCAGCAGCTCGTTAAATCGTTGGGGATAATTCCCCACGAGACCCTGCGGCGCGGTTACAAAAAGGCAGAAGGGCTGAATGATTTGCTAGGGATTTTCCACTCTTTGCTACCAGCTCTCCCGACCCCCCGCACGGGTCCCCGTAGAGGTGCAAGGCCTGCGCCATCCCGGGGGCACCTTGCGTGGGGGGCAGAGGCTCCAGGCAGACGGGGACGATGCTGGGGCACTTCCTACGAGGACTCGCCGGGGCTTCGCGTGCTGGACCGTGGCTTTCAAAGCAGGCTACATCTCAGACAGCGCGAGCCGGAGGGCTCCAGCCGGCTGCAGTCGGGCGGGGGGAAATGGCCCCAAGAGAAGGCGCTGTGCAAACCGCTGGGGGCCGGGCTGGCGGCTCGTTACCTGACGAGTTTTTGCACTTGACGGATTTGGGAGTCGTGGGAGACTTGGTCGGCGAGGTCTCGGCCTCGGCCTCGTCGCTGTGGTTCTGGTCCGTGTCCGACTCTTCCCTCACCGACACCTCGGAGCCTGCGGGAACAAGGGGCTGGGTGAAACCCCGTGCAGGGGGGACGTGTGGGCTGCAGCAAGGCACGCTTTTGGGGGCGTTTCAGCTCGCCCGGCGCTCTCTGGGAGCCAAATGCCAGGGCTTTCGGGACGGGACACAGCCAAATCAGATGCACCATGGCTGCAAAGCCCAGGAGCGGCTTGTGGCTTTCCATCTGCATGCGAAGCGAGTGGGTCACAAAGGGAACGTGGCTGGTGTCTGAGCCCGGGGCCCCACAAGCACTGAAGCTTTGAGGCCCTGGGCCCCGTGCAAGGATTCAAGCCGTGTTGCCAGGGCTGGAAGATCCTGCAATAGCCAGGTCTGGTTTGCCGCAGCCAACACCCAGCTGCCCAGCGGGGACTGGGATGGAAAACCCGACTGGGCGAGTGATGCAGCCAGGACGAGTCACGTGCCAGAAGCATCCGGCCTAACGAGTCGTTGGGGACACGGGTCCTCTCCCAGGACGTGCCCCGCTATCACCCTGTGCCCGGTTTCCAAGCTGCTGCCTCGGCCTTTGGACTTGGCCTCGCCGTTGGCGCGTGTCCCATCGCCAGCCGGTACAACGCACTCCAGCCAGAGCATGCTTTGCATAGGCAAATTGTCTCATTTGCACAGATACAGGCAAATGGGCAGCACGGAGGCCAAGCACTGGGAACGCTGGCTCTTGTAGGATGTGCTGACACTGGTTTTGTTTGTGTCAAAGCTGAGAGACCGGGGGGTGCTCAGCCAGGGCCAGGACGTGCAGAGCCAGGGCACGAGCACTGCCTCGCCGGCGGGGAAAGCACCATAAGAGCAGAGACCTCGATCTCTGCTCCTCTGGGAAGCAGAGACGAGATGGGAACGTGCACGTGCCTGCAGCGGGCCGAGGTCTGGCTCCCTGCGCCGTTACGCACCGATTCTGCGCGGCGGCGGTAAAGCTCCCGCCGGTGCCATCGGGTCAGACCCAGCGGCCTGCACCCGCATGACTGAGCAGGGCAAAGGGGTGTCTGTGTGCACCGGGCGGCAGGTCTGGGGTGGCAGGACGGGCTCCTTGAAAGCTCTCCGGGGACACGGCACATGTGGGGCTGGCTCCCCTCCGCTGCCCGTGTCACACCCGTGTCTCTGTCCCGGCGTCGCTGGGTGCATGGGGCAGCATCGCTCACCCTCCTTTCTCTGCAAGGCTGCTGCGTTCCCAGCCGGCCCCGTCCTTCCTCCAAGCGGGCGGCCTCTCCGTGTGCATCCCCCTCCCCACACCCGCAGCACTCCTCCTCCCCAGGGTGGGTTCCTAAGATCCAGGCTGGGCTGGAAGGGACCTCACCGGGTCATCTAGCCCCCTGCTCGAGGCAGGATCACCCCAGCGCCCCAAAAAAGCCCATCTCCCTCCTCTCTGTAATCACCCATCAGGGATTTGGCAGCTGTTATTGCATCCTCCCTCGGTCTTCTCTCCAGACAAAACACCTCTAGCTCGTCCAGCCTTGTCTTGCCTCCGCGGTCCCTGATCCCTTGGGCTGCCTGCGCGGGACTCTTTCCAATCTGCCCCGTCCCGTTTGCAGCGCGGGGCCCGAAACTGGACACAGGAGTCTGAGGGAGGCCTCGCCAGTGCAGACTCGAGTGAAGACTCACTGCCGTGGATGTGCAAGTGGCACGGCCGTTGTTCACCCTGGGAGGCTGCCGGCTTGTTTTGCAGGAGCACACGGCTGGGTCGGCTGCAACCCGCAGGGCCTGCCCTGCAGCCCTGGGAACCGCTGCGTGTCTGCGTGGCTCTAACGCCCCGGCCGTTCGGTATAAACCTCACAATCCTCCTCCCGCGCCCCAATGCCTGCAAACGTCGCCCGTGTTTTTATTGCCGCAACTTACTTTGCTTGTTCAGCGGCGAGTCCTCCTGCTTCTCCGCGGCCGCCTCCCCTTCGTCGGGGATCTTGTTGGGGTAGTTGCTGGACACGTAGAGCTTGTTGATGTCCAGGGTGGTCTTGCTGAAGGTGGACATGGAGGAGTACATGCTGGCGTAGCCGTTGGAGGAGCAGCTCAGCGCCGCCAGGTCCAGCGCCTTGCCCCCGGTGATGATGGGGATGTTGAGGGACAGCTTCCTCCTCCGGCTGGGTGACGAGGACTTGGTGATGGACAGGGGTGGTGGCGAGGAGAACTTCCGGTTGGCCCGGGGCGATTTCGGGGGCTCGCCGTAGAGGAGCTTGTTGTTCTGGCTGCTGGCAAACAGCAGCTCCAGGGACCTGGCGCAGAAACGAGAGCAGGTTTCCGTGGCCGAGCAGACCACGGGCAGGGGCAGGGGCTTCCCCGGTGGGCACAGAGCTGCCTGCCCGTCCGGGCCACGGGAGGAGGCAGGACCGGGGGTCTGCACCCGGAGAGGGGGTCAGCGGAGCACAGCGACGGCCGCAAGCTCCTTGGCCACCAGACGCAGGCGGTGGGAAACCCGGCCAGGTCACTGAGCCCAGCTCCCACCAGGGCCCTTCAATATTACTATGCCCATTTCACAGCTATGGCAAGTCAGTATTATGATGCCTTCCCGAGGCCACTGCCAATCCTGTCTCCCAGCGAAAACAACCCAGCAGGCCCTGGGCGCTGGCTGCCTGGCCCGGGGCAAAGCAGCGACCCAGACGGGAAGGCATGGCCCTACCTGGCAGGGATGGCACTGATGGGCTTCTTGTAGATCGTGATGAGCTTGTCCAGGACGACCAGGGCGGTGGTGAAGACGCGGTAGGAGTGCAGGAAGGTGTTGAGGAAGTCGATGCTCAGGAACCGCAGGTCCGTGAGCCGCTCCAGGAGCCGCTCCACGCTGGCGTAGCGGATCTGCAGGACCTTGCAAGAGTTCATCGTTTTGCTGAAGCGGATGTCCACGTCGTCGCAGTACAAGCTGGTGTCGGACCTGCAAGGGAAACGCGCAGTCTGTGGGGCCGGCCGCTACGTGCTGTCTGGGCCGGGGGAATCTCACCGTATCGCACTCGAGGCCCCCTTGGAAAACACCAGCTCGTTTTTGGAAAATAACAGGGTAGCTCGTCCACCGCAAAGAACCTGGAAAGCCCGCAGCAGGGCCGAAGGGTTTTGACACCCGGGGTTCCCATCTGAAATGGCTGGATGTACCGCGGGAGTCATCTTTGTACACCTAACAGCGTGTGACACCCCACAGCACCCTGGAAAGGATCGAGGCACCCCAGGGGCCGTGGGTGCCCGGTCGAGAAGCGCCGAGCTGGGCAGATGGACGTCACTGGCGCAGGCAGGTTGTCTGGGCCAGTCACCTCCAGGCTTTGGCTCGCGTACGTAAAGCAGGGTGCGAGAGCCGTCCCTGAGGACGGGGACTGGAGCAGTGCCCCAGAGCGGAGGGGATTGTGTACGTGCGGGGACAGACGGACCGCGGGTGCAGATTGCTCTCGGAGACTGGGAAGCCAGCGCTGCAACCGGGACCTCAGAGAGGGGCTGCAAGGCCGCAGGCAGG